GAAAAAGAGTCGAAAAAGATAATGGTAACGGTACTGCGGTTCAATTGAAAGCCTTTCTTTACGACGACGAAAAACTGTTTTTCCAAGACAGTCGTAAATTTTATTCGACTATAATAAAAAAAAAACCGAATACAGTTTTTGCTCGGTGCAAACGGGAAAGTATTGTTTACTGCAGTTTATAGAACTATATTTCGGCCAGATCTATGCTTTCCGAAATGCTTTTGCGAAGCGGGTTCTGCTTGCGTGCAGTGAATTTTTCGAGTGCAATACTTCACATCGAGAAATAATTTTTTCTGGCAAATTCGCTGGAAAATAGCTCTTATCGAAACTAAATTAGAACTTTCGAGAAAATTGTCTCCGCGTTAAGAAATTAGTTAACTTTATAAAAATTTCTATAGTTAATTTTGTAAAATTTGTTATTATCACAAGAAAAAAGGATTTCGTTAAAATTACTACTCTCTTAAAATCACACATAATGTACGAATACACAAAGTATCATAAAAAGAGAAGTGTCGGATTTAATTTAGTTTGAAAAAGAGATTTGACTCCGTTGATTATAATTTAACACTCTGGTCTACGCTCGCAGTAGTAAATTATGCCAAATACCGACCGTAATGGGTTTACTGACATTGCGTAAATTTTTATGAAATCAGTGTAGTTTGGATATTTCGTCAGTGCGCCGTGATCATCATTCTCCGACTATTTCTAAATTGGAGCGGGCGTCGGAGACTGCGAATACCCCGTTCGATGGTTTTATTTGAAGTCAGGTTAAATTACGAGACCGATGGACGACGCAGCCGCCGGGCGTGAGCGGCAAGGTGAAAAGCACGGCTCGAAGGAGATTTAATACGATCACCGCGCGAATATCACACCGACCGATCCCCACCCGTAGAGAGCGTCCCCGACTTCATCGGCCAGGTGCTCGTTGTCATGCACTCCCGTGTACGATATTGCCGTGGGATGGGCGGCGGGGGGCGGTGGTTGTCGCAGCTCGCGCGGGCGTTCATTAGCGGCTGCACAGGGTGGATCTCGGAATTCGCGTAGCAAGGCTTTCCGCGGGGCGGAGGGCGGGTGGTGATGGAAGCGCGGATGAGGAAGGAACGAGAGGAAGCTGGAGGACGAGGAGGAAGGAGGTGGAGCGCACTCCACTCGCCGGAGAGTTAATCCACGTGTGAAATTCGAGTGACCTCTGACCCCTGACAAAGTGCCTGCCTTTCTCCCTTCCGTCCTCTCCGCCGTGCCGTTTCGCGCATCTCGCTCGTGCTGCTCGTGCATCGGGCTTCGCTACCGAGACCCGATCGACGAAGGAATGCCCCCGGACGAATGTCGTTTGTCGTATTATGCAGCTGCACGATCGAGAGAATTCTGCATACCTCGGGAAATGTCGTGAAATATAAGTGCAAACTTTTCATACGTTAATTGATTGTTCATTAAAATTTATTATAGCTTATGTTAATTTTATTTCACAATCTACGCTGCTAATGCGAGATATCGGCGGAAACGAACGACCTTAAGCATTCTGTTACAATTTCTTGACAATAGTAAAATATATGTGGTTCGAAACCCTGTTAATGTTTTCAGACGTCAGACAGCTTAAGCTAATTTCAGTAGAAACGTTGTCGTGTCCCGCTGATACATTCTAGCATCCCTTGCCGGGATTCTTTTCTTTCGTTCACTGTATCGATCATTTTTTAAGTCCCTTATGAGAATCTCTTTGAAAACATCGTGGTTACATTCGTTTGTCCAGTTTTGATGAATCATCCAGTAGCACGGAAGCTCCGCATTTCACCATGAAACAGCGCACATTAGGCCCATTGTGTAATAAGTAGCTTCGAAACCCTGCGAATTTTTGCATTGAAGAAAAGAAAGAAAAATGGTTCACAAATGTGAGTCCATTCATGGAAAGGGCTGTAGTTTCTTTGCGATCTGTCAATGCCAGTTTCAGATTATTAATCACACCGCCTTTGACTATTAATTATCCCGTGTCAATCACCGATTTATTATTCACCGCTTAATTAATCTCTTCTTCTTTCCGTATTGTTTCATTATTCAATCGCGTTTGTATGTTTAGACGCACGAACGATTCTCGACAAATCTCCCTCTCCTTCTTTCTACCGAAGTAAGGATTGCAGGATATTCGGAGAGGTTTTGGAAGGAAACCAGGACACGGATAGCACTGGTAGCCGGCGCGGAGCAGTCGGTTAGGTTATTGGGAAGCCGATATCTGGCCGCAGGGAGGGATAGAGAGGAGGTCGGACGGAGAGCAGACTCGTTCGGTAGATTCGGAAAGGGGTGGCGGAAGGGGGATGGGGGAGGGGGTGAGTTGGAGTATTGGCTCCCGAAACTGGGGAATACCGAGGAAACGAGTTGTGTCGTATACCGTGGAGCTCTCTCTTCCCGTCTTGCTCTTGCCCTCCACTCCATCCGCCCTTCCTCTTCCTCTCTCTTTCTGTCGTACATTCGCGACGGGCGGTGGGGTGGTCCTTGCGTAGGATATGGGGTATTGTATCCGCTCCCTTTCTCTTTTTCTCCGTGGCATCCCTCCCAGCCATCGCGCCCTGGGCCCATACCCCCCGATCCATATATTTAAAACAAATGCTATCTGATGCGGCGCCGCTTTGTGGAGGCAAGATGAGACCAAGCTCATCCCTCCGCTCTTTGCTCTCACCCGCCCGCGACCTCTCTCCACCCTTCCGCCTCCCTTTCTGTGCCGTTCTTTTTCCCTTTCACTCGCGCACGCTCTCTTCGCCGCTTTGCTCGCCGCTCTCTTTTGCCGCTGGCTGCCACGGAAGCAGGGGTGCTTCCACGTCGCTTCGAGAAGCTTCCTGTCCACGTTTTTCCGATACCGGAGAAACTAGCCTCGGATATAGTGTCCGGTGACGTTTTCCTGAGCGTTTAGCGAGATTATAGTCGATTTTTTATCCAGTGCTTTGAGACACTTTAGCGTAATTAATATCACAAGTGACTTAAATCGCTACAAGTCAAATTGCTGTGACTTTTCTTCAATTTCTTCCCATCATCTTTTCTCTCTATTTAAATTTCTTTTTAGAACTATTAGAATTACAGCGGCACTGGAACAGAAGAATGTACTATAATATACATTTTATTTGCCACTTTTCATGCTACATGAAGCATTATTTGTTTAAATTATACCGATTACCTTTGAAAGACAGATGCTAGACAGATGTTTCGGAAATGTCGAAAATAATTACAATCGATAGGATCGCGATCGGGAAGCCTCTCATACTCTTGGAAAAGTTTGAGGATCGCTGAGGATTCGTGAGAGCGTAGGTGTCGCGAGTCTATCAGCCAATGCGCGGGAGTTCTCCTATCTCCGCCAGTAAATCCGGCCGTAAGTTAAACTATTGGGGAATCGAGGCGGTTCTCCCAACGCTTCAGCCACGTACTCCGCTCTTCCAGTAGGGTCGCGGAAGATCCTCCAGAATCAGGTTTACGTATATCTCGTTGCCTATCATCTCCATCACCATAGATTGGCCATAAAGAACCCCGGCAATCCGTGGTTATACGCGACGGGGCTACGAGTCGACTTCATCCTCCGCTGGATCCTCCGATCGAACCACCGTCTTACATTCTTACTTTGTATCGAGTTTGTATTCGTGATGATTCCGGACGAGAAATATAACTGAAAAGTAAAAATACATTTCTGTGTTTTGTTATATTAAATTGTTTATTGCAATTTACGATTAAATCGCATTTGAAGAATTTAAGATGAAAGGTCTTATAAAGATAATGTATAATAGTTTATGTCAAAACTTTTGAATGTTAACTTTTGACTCAAAAGACAATTGTCTTCGGAGAATGATAAATTGGAAATGCGAGACTAATTGAGGCCGTAAACATTTAACAAGTAATAAACGAACTTCATTGACGCGGTCAGTGATGCTCTTTGACGAACATAAGCACGTTATGAAGTTCTGTCATTTTTCGAAGTGGTCAACAAAAAAAAATGTGTGTGCGTGCGCGCGCGAAATGTGTCACTAGGAACGAAATTTAGAGAAATTCTTTACGGTTGCATGGCCTTTGTGCGGTTGTCTTTCGCTCTTATTGTTGTGGATGAGACAAATAAATGGACGAAATTTGGGTAAATGACCGTGGTGAAGGGACAAAATAGAGTATGAGAGCGAGAGAAGCGTCACAAAAGGGAGGAAGAGGAAGAATTGAGACAGACTGGTTTAACTAACTAAATATATAAGTGATGCAGACGAATCAGAGAATCTATAGTCTTTTTAAAATAAATGATTAATTAACTCTAATGTCACTTCTTCAAAATTTGGTTTTTTATTTGTTTTAAACTTTATTCTTCAGATTTGATAGTTTGCGGAAAAAAATTGGCGCGAAAAAAACGATTATGCGTTTATAGAAAGTTATTTCTTAATGTTAACATTAAAGTCATATTTCGCACTATTATACAATATAAATTTTACGTGTCAAAGACATATAGCCATTAAGAGTTGAAGTTCTGAGAGAATACAATTGAGGTTTCGAACGACGGGTAAGAGGGACTAGAGTAGGATGTGCTGCTGGTTCCATAAACACCCGCAAAACCCAACCTCCTTGCCACATTCTAGAACCTCTCTATTGCGGATGACCGATGGTCTAGATCTAGAATACGCTAAACTGCTACGTGAAAATTGCTTCGAAGGATTGTGATTGAATTATATTTAAATCACAGTAAGCGCATGCGAACAAATAATAATTATAGTTATGTTTTATAATTTTATTTATATATATATATATATAAAATAGAACATTTCGTTATTACAAAATAATTACAATAGAACAAACGAAGTACAAGATTACAGCATTAATACATTTTTTTATATTAATAATAATAAATAAATCCTATGTTTGATAAATAAGAAGATGTAATTGTAAGTTTAAATTGCGTTTTATTATTTTTTTTTAAATTAAATACTTGTATAGAGCAATTCATGGTTGACTCATGGTTATATTATGAAAATATTATGGATTTGTTACAGATGTCATAATTGGAAACCGAATGACTCATTTCAAAGTAAAAGAAACCATTCGTTCAGCGGAAGAAGGAAGCAGAAATATCTAGCACGACAAATTCCAGGCCTTCTTGCGATCTTCGAGGTTAGTGCTCAGCGGGAGATTCGTGCCTATAATGAGGCGAGACGGTTCTTAGGAATATTTTTATCTTTAAAATGGCGCCCTTTGTCTCGCTATAACTGTACATTATTCTAACACGTGTAGAAGTGGCACCATTGAAACCGGTATCCTGCAGAGTTCATAACGCATCTCTTTTTGCTTGCCTACTTTGTAGTTTTGAGTATTAGTTGATCGTTTGGCAAGGCAAGAGGTTTCATGGCATGTTTTAAGGTTTGTGTTACTGAAATGCGGAAGTCTTCTAATATAGAAATCGTTTCGATCTCCCCTTTGCTTTTGAAGACACAATAGATAAGATAATAGATAATAGATAAGATAATAGGAACATAAAAAAATAAAGTAATAGGGTGATGCTATATCGACTCTGTCCAAAATACTTTATACAGCTGCGCGTGTACGATTGAAAACTGCCTTTCTTTTCCATTTTATTTATACAAGTGTAAATAAGCTATACACTAATTTGTTGTATTTTTTACTTCTTAAAATTAAAAAAAAAAATTATATTTATAATGATTTACATATTACTGTCTGTTCAAAAAGATGAAAGAGCAATTTTCTAGTTTATATCATACTTGGTTAAAAATTATGAAATTTGTCTTAAATTTATTCAAACTTGTTGGCACTTTATATAATACAAAGATATTGCTTTTTATGTTTTTTGTCGATGATAAAAAGAGATGATAATCGTGAATCATGATTTTATCTAAAAATAGAAGAACTAGAATAGCTTACCTTGTGGCTCTGGTATGGCATTCTGATGGCGAAAAGTTTCACATAAAAATAGCTTTTATAATAACGAGACATATACAAGATTTGTTTTGACATAAAAATGCATTAAATTTTTTTTATATGTCTTGAAGTTACAATTAATCAGTATTTTTTTTTATTATTAAATTTTGTTTAGAGAAATTATTAGGATATTGCATGAAAAATTTAAAAGTTTTTACTTTCTTCACTTCTTATGCTACAATTTATCTAACAATAGCCGACAGATCAGTTTCCGGTTGAATGCATTCAAGAAAACTATAAAGTAATTTGCTCAAATTTCTTGATAGAAAACGTCTTGATGTCTTCCATAATATTTTGGAAACTGCATAGAGACTACTAAAATAGTTTCTTGAATATCTTGCGCCGTGAATAAAAAAACGATCGTTTTCTTTCCAATTCTATCTGCATTTATTTTCTTAAGAAGATTTACATACTTCGAGACAAATAATTGCGTTTGTAGATATTTGATCAATCTTGCCAAAGCCTAGAAATTCAACAAAAAACATGTTTGAAATTTTAACACGCATTGAATATTCAATATGCATCGCAATACTCCAGCAGGTCTTCGGTTAATTTGTATGCGGTTTTCCTCGAACATTTATTCGAGAAAATGCGACTCAATTGCGAAATTGACTCAATTATACCCAAGGGCAGCGTTTCACAGTGTTATATTCTTAGAATAAAAGCGCGGAACCGCTTAGCTTGCATCGTGAGAGCGAAATGCAGCCTTTCCGGGAACGAGCGATCGGGCAAACGACAAGGGCAGAGGGTGGCGAGCGGCGGCCTTCGTGCCGGGCAGTGTCCATTTATCTCGCGTTTTGTCGAGTGCCAGAATACGTCCTTTATTTACAGGCGACTCGCGTTTTTCCAGGACGTTGCATCGAGTGCTGACGAGAAACGTGTTTATTATGCGATCCGCCTCGAAGTTACGCGTTCGGAGGGCGGATCGCCATTGTCGATGAATCCGATGCGGGGAGGCGGGCCCGCCGCTGTTTGCACCCGCGAGCATAAAGCAGATTTTCAGTGATTTACGTCGAGTCACCAAACATACCACGCGCACCGCCGTGAAAACGCCTTCGGCCGCCGTTTTCCATTCATCCACGCGGTTTTCATGCCTGGACCGATTTCATTCATGCTTAGCCAAGGCTTGGGTATCTCTCGATGAAACCGAGAACGTTCGGCTTTCAAACATAGCGTCGCGAATACCGAATGTTTATGTGTTGAATTCGGTAAAGTCTTTCAATTCGGTGATTTTTCTATGAATTTGTTGAAATCGAATATCTGTGGAGGTAGATATTTATTAATCAACATATTTCGTTATTGATATTTTCTATTTATTTGTTGTCATAATTTTTATAACGCTATGTTTCTAAAAATTTAACGAACATGATAAAATTCATGAAAGATTATACAAGTAAATCTTTTAATACTAATCTGCGCGTGGCGATGCAATTCTTGTGACTGATGTCTTCCTGCTCCTATGGAAATATGAGCCATGTATCTTTTGGTCAATGACACCCACGCATCCCCGTGAGATCCTTCACTTTGCGCGACGATCGATGAATGTCCCGGAAGACATTCTTTCGGGCCGCGCGATCGCACCGGGATGCTCGTATTATATCGCCGAATCGTATTGTCCGCGAGAAGATCGTATAAGATTTCGGATGATTGTACTTTCGCATCTTTCACAATGTCTCTCGTTCGGGGATAGAGACGTCTCAATTACCTGATCTTACCTGCTTTTACCTGATACACCTATATAAGAGAACGTTCGCGCGAATGAAAGTTGTACGCACTTAGAAATACGAGCATTCGTGATGACAGATTGAATGATACATCTACCAGTGCGGAACAAAATGATATCGCATCCGATATTCTCGTCAATTTGTAAGACAAAAAATAAATATTGTTAAAAATCTTTCTTAGATTTTGATAACAAAATGCACAATAATTTATTGCTCGTATAATTAATTAATTAATTAATAATATATGTTTCATGTTCCATTTTTTCAAGATAAATTAAAGATTAAATTTATTTTCTATTATTATTTAAGAATTATTTATAATAATACAGCTATTTATGACGTTTTTGCAAAAGCATTTGAAGATAAAAAATGGCATTTGAAAATAATTTTGTAACTTGTAAGGACACGTAGAAATACCGTATTTTTCAATGATTAATGCAAAGTGAGAAAAACTAAATTTAAGAATCAGATCACGGTCACATGGCCGTCACAACTAAACAAGCGGAAAAAATTTGAACTTTGCTGCGCTACATTAATTTTTATAGCTATTATTGTATAAAAAAGCTGACAATGGAGAAAGAAATGCTCGCATTTCCATAATATACCAGGACGGATATCATACTGTGACCAAGGACGTGCGGGTGAGACTGCATTGAAAATGAAAAACTTTCACCAAGACTCCCACTGATTTAGACTTAACGATATTTCCTTGTAAATTATCTTGGTGGTGCGGTCGCGCGCAACCAGAGCCACAAAACCTTTCTATTCATCCCCACTACGTAGGTTACAGGGCCACGCGCCATATATAATTTTCCAAGCAGAAAAACAAAGCGGTTTGCTGACGCGATAAAAGTTTACGCAAGCTTTCTAAGAAGATAATTCCAAGCGTACGACTTGTTCATAAATTTGATGAGCACAATTGAACATTGGGTTAGGACTAAAGAACAGCATTCGTTACGGTGCGTATGGGAACGAGACGGAACGAAGTTCTGTCATAAAAATTGCTGAAATGTCCAAAAGTTTCATAAAGTGGCCAATGCGCACTCTTTTGCGTGACATTCTTCTTCGCCTTTTTTTCCGAGCTAGTTGAATAAGCATTTTCTTTTTTTTTATGATATTGAGGGAAAATTCCCTTTCCGCTGTCTTCGTGTGGCAAACAGGTTTTCAGAAGGCATGAATCACCGATGGGGGTTTATAAATGACGGTCCGGTGTTTCATTCATCGCAATGTTAGCGCAGCCAACCTACTGACCTAAAGTCTGGTCTCTTTCTCTTTTGTTTCCTTTAGTCTCTTTTTTTTTTCACTTCTCGGCGTGGAGAGGCCTTAAACGAGCATGGACGGGGAGCGAATACCGAACGAATACCGGATCGCAATTCTTTCCAACCACCCTCTTGCTCGCGTCATCCCCTTCTCTGCGTCTCGATAGCATCGTGCGAGGGTAGCCTCAATCCTGCAGAAAGAGAGAAATGCGATTTGGGATTTCCGCGCTGGCGGCGGCTAGATTAAGGGGATCTTGTAAGACATCCGCTCGAGTTACTAATAAAGTATCTCGTCTGCAATCTGCTTTCGGTTGTTTCGTGACTTTTATGCGTGTTTGCGCGGATTAATGGAAAAGCGACTAGGCGAAAGACGTCAGGCAGGCTTAGACGAATAAAACGCGAGCACGTAGGATGGGACGCGCTTTTCGAAGAGGATTAAAATTATGTAAAGTATATTTTATAACAGATTACAATATTCCTAAATGACTCAATTTCACGATGACGTAATAAGTGTGTCAGTCAGTCAGGTATTCAGAATGAAGGTCTTCTTCCGACCTACAAAATTCGACACGCATGGCCCGCATTTTTATTGTATCGCATTTTGCACGCTGCGAATAGTTCCGGCCGTTTGTCGATGCGATGGAGAGCCGTGACATTCTTAAATTTGACCAAAGTGACTTTTTCCTATCGACATTCAAATTCCGTGTTCGTTCCGCAGTTTCACAGGAAACGTGAGAAATTTGTAGATGTTAAGAGAGATTGGGAGGATGGATGCACATACGATATAACAAAATTATGCAACACTGCGTAGCATATGAGATTAAATAATCTCTTATTAGAACGCTTAATTGATTCGCTTGACGTAGATCTCAAACTCATTTTTTAAACTTATCGTAGTTCTGCCGAAAGCAACACAGTAAAAAACTATTAATTCTTTAGCTGCAAGCACATTTTCAGGTAAAATTTAGAAGTCAAAAAACGATAATAAACTTAGAAGTCTAAATATTTACTGTAGAAAATCGTTTTTCAAGATTGATGGCAATCCGACTGTGCGATTAAACCATTAAGATAAGACACTATCGTATTCGTGCAGTTTGTAAGTAAATCCTATTAAGGCTATTACATCCAAAGATTGCATAATAAAAGTATTGAGGTTAAAATTAACACGCACCTGTTGATGAAGTGCTAAGTTTGA